CTGCCATTCTCAGGTGCCCAGTCTTGCCCTCGGCTGCGACTGTGGGTGTGGGTGTGTTGGGGCCTGACTCTGCCAGGTCAAGGGCTGAGCTGGGCGGGGGCTCTTGGGAAGTGGGACTTGGGGTCCCCAGTTATTGAATGTATCCCACGCCAGTTCTCTGGGCCCCGCACAGCACTCCAGCTTTCCCGCCAGGCGTCTGGGGAGGCTGCACCCCCCACCTCTGCAGCTGCCTTGGTACTGTCTGGGCAGAGCCATTCATGGCTCTGCATTCCCCACTCTGCAGTGGCGAGAAAGGAGACGTGTGGTCACAGCAGCTCCTACCCGCCCGGGATGAGCACTCGGGAGCCTGAGCTCACCCTCTCCTTCTTCATGTGGACTGGCTATCCTCGAAACACACACCCACCGCAGAGTTCCTTTAGGGACCCCTCACGTCTCCCACCCATCCACAGCAGGGGACAGTCGGTTCCCACAGCCTCCCCTGAGCATGTCACCACTGGGGACCATGGGTGATCATCTGATCACGGGGGCCTCAAGGTCTGACCATGTCACCTCACAGTCCCTGAGCTCCCGTGAGTGCACAGGGCCCAGCCACACGTGCGACAGGCTGCCAGCCCCTCCTCTGGCAGGGCCGTTGTGACGTACACCAGAGATGATGGGTAGGAAACTGGGTCATTCGTAAAACTGATAGATTCAGCCAGGTGTGGTGGCTCACGCCTGTCATCCCAGCACTTTGGGAGGCCGAGGCAGGTGGATCACTGAGGTCAGGAGTTCGAGACCAGCCTGGCCAACATGGAGAAACCCCATCTCTACTAAAAGTACAAAAATTAGCCGGGCGTGGTGGTGCGCGCCTGTAGTTCCAGCTACTCGGGAGGTTGAGGCTGGAGAATCACTTGACCCCGGGAGGCAGAGGTTGCGGTGGATGGTACCACTGTACTCCAGCCTGGGTGACAAGAGAGAGACTCGGTCTCAAAAAAAAAAAACATAAAACAGGCCAGGCGCAGTGGCTCACGCCTGTAATCCCAGCACTTTGGGAGGCCGAGGCGGGTGGATCACGAGGTCAAGAGATCCAGACCATCCTGGTCAACATGGTGAAACCCCATCTCTACTAAAGATACAAAAAATTAGCAGGGCATGGTGGCGCGTGCCTGTAATCCCAGCTACTCAGGAGGCTGAGGCAGGAGAATTGCCTGAACCCAGGAGGCGGAGGTTGCGGTGAGCCGAGATCGCGCCATTGCACTCCAGCCTGGGGAACAAGAACGAAACTCCGTCTCAAAAAACAAAAACAAAAACATAAAACAAACAAAAAAAAACCAAACCAAAACAAAAACTGCCAGGTTCAGGTCCAGTAAGACTCAGGGCATGGCCGGCTAGTGCCGCCGGGGCTGTCTGCTGGGGAACCCCGTGGCGACGAGACGGCATGACACACCGCAGCTCCAGCCCATCCTGTCTCCCCTTCATGATGTGCATGCCGGGCTTGCACTTGTGGACCCGGCTTCCCCATGGCTGTGGACGCCGGAAAGCGATGCGTCCCACCTCTGCCCTCCGGAACAGTACTGTGATGCTGAGTGGCTGAAACATGACAAACGTTCAAATAACTTAAGAAATGAAATTGAGGCTGGGCACAGTGGCTCACACCAGTAATCTCAGCACTTTGGGAAGCCAAGGCAGGAGGACTGCTTGAGTTCAGGAGTTCGAGACCAGCCTGGACAATATAGTGAGACCCCATCTCTAAAAAAAATAAAAGGGCCGGGCGCGGTGGCTCAAGTCTGTTATCCCAGCACTTTGGGAGGCCGAGGCGGGCGGATCACGAGGTCAAGAGATCGAGACCATCCTGGTCAACATGGTGAAACCCCGTCTCTACTAAAAATAAAAAAATTAGCTGGGCACGGTGGCGTGTGCCTGTAATCCCAGCTACTCAGGAGGCTGAGGCAGGAGAATTGCCTGAAACCAGGAAGCGGAGGTTGCGGTGAGCCGAGATCGCGCCATTGCACTCCAGCCTGGGTAACAAGAGCGAAACTCCGTCTCAAAAAATAAATAAATAAATAAATAAAATAAAAAACTTAGCCAGGTGTCGTGGTGTGCACCTGTACTCTCAGCATTTTGAGAGTCAAGGTGGGAGGAGGGTTTGAGCCCAGAAGGTCGGGGCTGCAGTGATTTATGATCCTACCACTGCACTCCAGCCTGGGAGACAAACGGAGAAACCCTGTCTCTAAAAAAAAAAAAAAAAAAAAAAAAAAAAAAAAAACAATAAAATAAAATAAAAAACAGCTGGGCATGGTGGCTCACACCAGTAATCCCAGCAGTTTGGGAGGCTGAGGTGGGTGGATCACCTGAGGTCAGGAGTTCGAGACCAGCCTGGCGAACACGGTGAAATCCCATCTCTACATGGTGAAAGTAGCTGGGCATGGTTGTGGCACGTGTCTGGTATCCCAGCTACTCGGGAGGCTGAGGCAGGAGAATTACTTGAATCCGGGGGGTGGAGGTTGCAGTGAGCTGAGACTGCGCCATTTCACTCCAGCCTGGGTGAGAGAGCAAGACTGCATTTCAAAATAAATAAATAAATAGGCAGGGCAGAGGGACTCGCACCTGTAATCCCGGCACTCTGGGAGACCCAGGCCAGTGGATCACTTGAGCTCTGTGTGCCTGGGTCTCCCAAAATGCTGCGATTATAGGAGTTCAAGACCAGCCTGGGCACCATGGTGAAACACCGTCTTTCCAAAAAAAAAAGAAAGGAACTGTTTCCCAGCACTGCACCCTCGCAAAGCTGGCCTCTCCCTAGCTGAGGAGTGGCAGTGGTCGGGGAGACCCACTCGGACTCAGACCCAAGCCTGGACCAGAGTAAGTGGTCCAGAGGCAGCACTGGAAGGAGGTGGGGAGTCTTTTGCACGGCTGCGTGTCGAACTCCTCAACACTTTTGGATGGACGGGAGGACGTCTGTGTGAGTCTCAGAGTTGGCACCAAGGAGGAGCCTTCTGAGTGGGTGGACGATGGTGCCTGCCAGGCCCAAGCCTTCCTGTGGGTGGTCCCCACAGCCCCTGCAGTGCCCTGTTCTGGGAGCGGCCCCTGCAGTCCCCCGCAGTGCCCTGTTCTGGGAGTGGCAGTTCTGCTGGCGGGGGGCACGGTGGTCTGCTTGTCCCAGTCTTCTACACTGCCATTGCCAACGGGAGCTTGGACTAGGCATGCCAGCCTCCCGGCACCCAGAGCCCACACTCTGCCCACGCATGTTACTGAACGGTCCTCGTGACTCCTGGGATGGTCCTGGGGAGCAGCGCAGGATGCCTCATGTGGCACAAGACGCTCCTGTGTCCAGAATGGCCTGTATTTGTCGTCAGGGGCAGGGGAGGGAAGCTTCTTGGTGGAGGGGACAGGCTGAAGGACAAACGGCCAGGCCGGGCCACTTCCTTTGCCAGGAAGTGGGGACCCAGGAGGGTGTAGCCTCCTACAGGAAGCCCTCTGTTGGGCCGGCTCCATGCCTCTGTCTTGGAAAGTGATGCACTTGGTTGCCTCATGCCGACTGGGGTCTGTCACAGATCCTGGTTTTTCCCAGGAGTTCTGGAGGCCCAGGGCCTGGGTGTGGTTCCCGGTTCATTGGGGAGGGGCCTGGGTGCTGCCCCCTCCTCCTGGCAGGGCTTCACTGGGCTAAACTCTCATCTGGGGTTGCGGAAGTGAGCCAGGGTGGGGACAAAGTCGTGGCTGGTGGGTCTGGGCCAGTTCCAGGTACAGGGCCCAGATCCTCCCACTCCAGGAGGAGGGAGCTCCCTCTTCAAAGCCATCTGGCTCTGGGAAGGGCCATCTGCTTCCAGGCTCCCTGGAGTCTCTTCCTGGCCTAAGACAGAGCCTGCAGCCTGGCCCAGAAGGTCCTCCCTCCCGCTGGGTCCGCAGGGGCCGGCCTAGGCCTCCAGCTTGCTGCTGTGCAGAGGGCCAGAGAGCAGAGGGGTCTCTGAAACAGTGGCAGAGAGTCCTCGCACTGAGGGACTGGATTCTGCACTGGGCTGCAGCCCCCAGCCACCGTCACGGGGTGGGGTGGGCGGTCGTTTCTCTGCAGGTCCGGGTGATGTGGAGGGGCGCCTGGGCTGCCACGCACAAATGGTGGGCTGGGACGCAACCTGGGCTGGGACGCAACCTGGGCTGGGATGCAACCTGGGCTGGGACGCAACCTGGGCTGGGACGCAACCTGGGCTGGGACGCAACCTGGGCTGGGACGCAACCTGGGCTGGGACGCAACCTGGGCTGGGACGCAACCTGGGCTGGGATGCAACCTGGGCTGGGACGCAACCTGGGCTGGGACGCAACCTGGGCTGGGATGCAACCTGGGCTGGGATGCAACCTGGGCTGGGACGCAACCTGGGCTGGGATGCAACCTGGGCTGGGACGCAAACGGTGCCCGCTTTGGCCCTGGACGCTCGGGTGGGCGGGAGGGGCAGGCCAGCCCTATGGTCTCAGGATACGGGGCTGGGGAGGGTCTCCTGGCCAAAGGCTGTCCCGCGGCGGTGACCCCTTCGCCCGGGCCCCGCATCCTTCGGCGCCGCCCTCCCGGTCCTGGCTCACCCGGGACAAACAAGGCCCTGGCCGCGGAGCCGCCCTGCCGCACAGCGCTCACGGGTCCTTTAGTCAATGTAGGAAAACGGAGACCTGCTGGGCGCGATCGAGGCGGGCCGATGCCCAGGGCGAAGCCGCACGTGTGCGCCTGCGTGGCCGCCCCTTTTGCAGTGACCACCACGAGTGTCCCACGAACGGGCTCGTTGGCTGTAGTACCAGCAACAACAACGGAGGCGGCCGCGCTGCGCACGCGAGTACCCACGTGGACCCACACCCTTCCTGCGGGGGACGCGGGAGGCATCGCCAGCCCGGCGCGGCCCCGGGACGCGAACCCGTGACTCCCGCGTCTCCGCCTGTAGGGGGCGCTCCCGCGCCTACCTCAACCAGCTCGTCCCCGTGCCGCGGACGCGCGCGCGCTGCCTCACGCGACGGACGCCCCGGCTGCCGTCCGTCACCGCTCGCGTGCGTGCGCGTGCATGCGGGTGGGGGCGTCGTGCGTGCGCGCGCCGGCGGCCCAGAAAGCGGCGCTCGGAGCCTGAGGCGGCGGTGGTTAGGCGGCTCCCCGGCGGCTTCTCCGCGGCGGTGACGGCGCCCGCGCTTCCCGCTCCCCGCTCCCCGCGCTCCTCCGCCCGGGCCCGCCAGCCGAGGCCGCTCCGCAGCGCCGGAAGATGCCCGCCGTGTCCAAGGGGGATGGGATGCGGGGCCTGGCGGTCTTCATCTCGGATATCCGCAACTGTGAGTGGCGGGGGCGGCGCGGGGCAGGGGCCGCAGGGGGAGACGGTCTGCAGCGGGGGCCCGAGGCGGGGGTGCAGGCGGGCCCGGGGTCTGGGGGTGCGGGCTGGGATGCGGGGGGCCCGGGGTCTGGGGGTGCGGACTGGGATGCGGGGGGCCTGCGGTCTGGGGGTGCAGGCGGGCCCGGGGTCTGGGGGTGCGGGCTGGGATGCGGGGGGCCTGCGGTCTGGGGGTGCAGGCGGGCCCGGGGTCTGGGGGTGCGGGCTGGGATGCGGGGGGCCTGCGGTCTGGGGGTGCAGGCGGGCCCGGGGTCTGGGGGTGCGGGCTGGGATGCGGGGGGCCCGGGGTCTGGGGGTGCGGGCTGGGATGCGGGGGGCCCGGGGTCTGGGGGTGCGGGCTGGGATGCGGGGGGCCCGGGGTCTGGGGGTGCGGGCTGGGATGCGGGGGGCCTGCGGTCTGGGGGTGCGGGCGGCGCTCGGGGTCTGGGGGTACCAGGTCTCGGGGAGCGGGCGGGGTCCTGGGTCTGAGGGTGCGGGGCGGGGCCCTGGGTCTGGGGGTGCGGGCGGCGCTCGGAGTCTTGGGGTGCCGAGTGTGGGGGTGCAGGCCGGGGTGCGGGGCGGGGCCCAGGGTCTGGGGGTTCAGGGCACGGTCCTTCGTCCACATGCGCACTCCCGGTCCTGGGCTGCGCGGTGGCTGCGGCACCACCGAGGGGGTTCCGGGCCCAGACGCCCCTCCCCAGCATGATGTCACCTCGGTCTTTCTGGGAGCGCAGCGTTAACCCAGCCTTTCCCAAAACGGCGTGGCTTTTAGCTTTGGGAGCAGAAATCTGGAAATCGCCGCCTTCCCGGGAAACGGCTTTGTGACCTGGGTTCTGGGGGCTCATCCCCTGGCTGGATCTCACCCGCGGCGATTAAAATGACTCATTCCCGGGGGGGAATCCGGACACGAGCCGTCGTCGGGGTGTGGGTTGGCTGCTGCTGGCTGCTCCAGTCGCGGGCCTCGTTCTCAGCCACATGCGTGTCCCCTCGGGGTGGAACCGAACCGTGAAACAGGCCAGGAAGGCTCACGCCTGTAATCCCAGCACTTTGGGAGGCTGAGGCGGGTGGATCACGAGGTCGAGAGATCGAGACCATCCTGGTCAACATGGTGAAACCCCGTCTCTACTAAAAATACAAAAATTAGCTGGGCATGGTGGTACTAATTACAGGTACTACCTCACCTGTAATCCCAGCTACTCAGGAGGCTGAGGCAGGAGAATTGCTTGAACCCAGGAGGCGGAGGTTGCGGTGAGCCGAGATCGCGCCATTGCACTCCAGCCTGGGTAACAAGAGCGAACTCTGTCTCAAAAAAGAAAAAAAAGAGGACTTGGAAGGGGGTGCAAGGTGCAGGGTGGGCTGCAGGTCCACCGATTAATTTGGCTTCTGTGTGCAGAACCTCCTCTTGGCTTTCGGAGGCTGCCCTTTATATTTAATTTAAGGGAGAAAAAAAGCTAGTTTCCTGTCTGGTGTGTTGATTTTTTTCCTTGTTATCTACCACATAGTTGACTTAATGATTTTCTTTTTTTTTTTGAGACAGGGTCTCGCTCTGGCGCCCAGGCTGGAGTGCAGTAGTGCCATCACCGTGCACTCAACCTCCCCAACTCAAGTGATCCTACCACCTCAGTCTCCCAAGTTGCTGGGACTATAAGCGTGCACCACCACCACGCCTGGCTAATGCTCGTGTTTTTTTGTAGAGATGGGGTCTCACTATGTTGCCCAGCCTGGTCTTGAACTCCTGAGCTCAAGCGATCCACCTGCCTTGGCCTCCCAAAGTGCTGGGGTTACAGGCATGAAACATGGCACCTTCATAATTTTTAATGTATATTTTGAGGAATTTTTGTGACCTTCCCTTTGAAGTCTCATTTCCTTAGAGTAGATGGGGGGTCAGGAGGACAGTCTGGTTGACCACACTCTGTGGAAGGGTAGAAGACCATCTAACCCTTCCCCTACTCTGCAGAAAAAAAAAAAAAAGCGTAGAGCCAGGTGTAGTGGCTCATACCTGAGGTCCTAGCACTTTGGGAGGGTGAGGCAGGCAGATGTTTTGAGCCCAGAAGTTTGACACCAGCCTGGGCAATGTGGTGAGACCCTGTCTCTACCAAAAAAATATGAAAATTAGCTGGGCGTGGTGTTGTGCACCCCTATAGTCCCAGCTACTTGGGAGGCTGAGATAGGAGGATCACTTGAGCCCAGGAGGTCAGGCTGCAGTGAGCTGAGATTGCGCCACTGTACTCCAGCCTGGCTGACAGAGTGAGACCCTGTCTCAAAAAAAAAAAATGCTGGGTGCGGTGGCTCATGCCTATAATCCCAGTACTTTGGGAGGCGAGGCGGGTGGATCACGAGGTCAAGAGATTGAGACCATCCTGGTCAACAAGGTGAAACCTGGTCTGTACTAAATATACAAAAACTAGCTCGGCGTGGTGGTGCGCGCCTGTAGTCCCAGCTACTCAGGAGGCTGAGGCAAGAGAATTGCTTGAACCCAGAAGGTGGAGGTTGCGGTGAGCTGAGATCGTGCCATTGCACTCCAGCCTGGGTAACAGGAGCAAAACTCCGTCTCAAAAAAAATAAATAAATAAACGCTTAGAAACACATCCTCGGATCAGCACTTTTGCAAGTAACATTTTTTCTCTTCCTTCATTACATAATGAGACCGATACACATCTTGTAAACCTGTGTATTACTTGTTAAGGGGACCCCTTGGAGAAAGGCTTAGCAGCCTTAAATGAGCTGTGATGTCTGTCCTTCCGTCTTTGAAGCAGGGTACATGAGGCAGGGCAGTGAGATTGAAAGCCATTGCCAGACAGTGCTCACTACTTGCTGGATGTATGGTCTGTGCCAGGCTGCGTTTGACAGGAGGGGCTGCCACAGTGAGCGCAGGACAGCTACCTCCCTCATTTGCGGTTTCACCTTCTGATGTATCAGTTACCTCTGGTCAACTGTGGTCTGAAAGCAGGTGAGTGCAATGAGATACTTAAAGAGACCACATTCATGTAACTCTTACCACAGTACATCATTACACTTCTCTGTTATTATTGGCTGATATCAATCTCTTACTGTGCCCAATGTATACGTGAAACGTTTTCATAGGTATGTGTGGGAAACAGTCTATAGGGTTTAGTATGATCTGAAGTTTCAGGCATCCACGGAGGGCCTTGGAACGTATCCCCGTGGATAAGAGGAAGCTGCTGTTCTCTTTAAATCCTTGACTGTGTAGACCAGACTTTCTCCAACTCAGCAGAGCTGACCTTTGGGGCTGGACCATCCTTTATTGTGGGGGGCTGTTCAGTGCCTCCTGGGATGTTTACAGCTGCACCAGATGCCTCACTTATGACAAGGAACAGTGTCTCCAGGCATTACAGCTGTCCCCTTAGGGCAAAGTTGGCGCCGGTCGGGAACCATGAGCGTAGCCCAGTGAGTAAGATGGCCCTCTCCTGAAGGAGCTAGTGGAAGAAGGGGTGCTTAGTCCTAGCTGGGGGAGCCAGGTCTCTTTATTTTTTAGTTTTGAGACGGAGTCTTGCTCTGTCACCCGGGCTGGAGTGCAGTGGCGCAATCTCGGCTCATTGCAACCTCCAGCTCTCGGGTTCAAGCGATTCTCTTGCCTCAGCTTCCCGAGTAGCTGGGACTACAGGTGCATGCCACCATGCCTGGCTAATTTTTGCATTTTTAGTAGAGACAGGGTTTCACTGTGTTGGCCAGGTTGGTTTCGAACTCCTGACCTCAGATGATCTACCTGCATCGACTTCCCAAAGTGCTGGGATTATAGGTGTGAGCCACCACGTCTGGGCATCCAGGTCTCTTTAACATGGCCCCTTTCTGGGATTCTTCTTTCCCGTGTTGCTGTTGGATGGCCTCTCATCAGCTTCGGCTCTGTTCTCCTCTGGGTGGTGTCTTCAGCTTGTGGTGCTGTTTTTCACCAGTGTGGCTCCGTATCCCCTGCTGCCCTCTGGGGTGGGCTCTGCAAAGTGGGGACCCTGTCTTGCTCGTCACCTTTTTCCTCCTCTGCTCCTCATGGCGAGCGTCTGGCACGTGAGGTGCGCTGGGTGAATGGATACATGAGCAAGCCAGAGAAGACCTCACACAGAAGGTGATTCTTGGGCTGCAGTTCAGGCAGAAGACCAAGGTATTAGAGGAACATCAAATATTAAATTAATTAATGCGGGCTGGTGCCTGGAGATGGGATTGGAGAGCTAGCCAGGGTTTGAGCTGATCTGAACTTGACCTCCATGTCACAGGCAGAGGAGTCCCCACCTCTCCGTCCCTGGCCAGCTCTGCTTTTGTGTCCTATTTTCCTGTTGTGAGGGTGAATGATAGGAGTAGTCGGGCTCTGTGGAGAGAGGACTCCACTGGCAGCCGAGGCTCTTGACCTTGACTCCGCCTGTCACCTGCTGCAGTGACTGGAAGCCACTAGCTGTGGAGCCTCAGTTTCCTCAGCTGACAGTTGAAGGGGTGGATTTCGAGTTGAGGTGTCATGATCTTTATGTTTTGTGCCTCCCTTGTACCTTTCTGACTAGTTTCTTAAGTTCCCTCCTTTAGCCTGGGCAGCATAGTGAGACCCCGGTCTTTACAACAGAGGAAAAGAAGTAGCCAGGCGTGGTGGCGCACACCTGTGATCCCAGTTACTCGGTGGGCTGAGGTGAGAGCCTTGTCTGAGCCCTGGAGGTTGAGGCTGCGGTGAGCTAGGATTGTGCCACTGCCCTCCAGCCTGGGCAGCCTGAGCAGCAGATCGAAACCCTGCCTCAAAACAAGTTTTTCCCTTTTAAGACCCTGTGCCAGGTATCTGAGATAGAGGATGGGGAGCATGTGGAGACAGAGTTGAGGATGCTCTGTTTTCATTTTGAGTAAACCTTCCCAGCAGGCTGGCCTGGGGCATCACTCCTCCCGGAACAGACAGCAGTGAATTCGCTCCAAGATCTGGAAAGGTGCCTTATGTGAAGCCCTGCCCTCAAAGCCGCAGATTCTGTGGCTCAG